CAAAATTGCTAATTTTAAGAATGAAAACTTTATACTAACTATTTAATTTAAATAAATTTTAGTAAAAAAACTTTGTATTTTATTTATACTTACATTTACATATTATCATTATTAGTCTAACTATTATAAAGAGCATGTAGTTTGAATATTCAAATCTGCAGATTGCTCATGAGCATATAACCTGATTCTTAATAGATTGGATTAAAAAATTTTAATATATCAATACATATTTGACAAATTTAGCATCTTAATTTATATAATGATAAGGAACATTGGAGTTTAGAATTAAGCTTTGTAAATCTTATTTTAGTTAAAATTAAAATAGGTAATGTATATTTTTAATAGAAGTTATTTAAAAGTTTATTTTACTTTAATTAAATTCTAATACTCTTATTTATACGTATAATGCATTATTATTAAAGAATAGTATATGAAATCTATAGGTATGAATCATATTAGCAAAATATGTAATATTAGTGATTATTATTACTATTATAGAATCAGAGTTTAAAAAGATAAGAAAAGACATTTGAATCAATATAAGCATTAGAGTGTTCATAAAGTCTGCTATAATAAACTATTCTATTAGAACATATAGTATTAAATAGAGTAAAATTATATTCATAATTATTAGTAATATCTCGCTAAAATGAACACCTGATTCTTATAGTAAAAATTTTTAAAATATTCAGTTTATAGAATTATTATATGTCTAATCTGAACTTATTAATAAAATTTATAAGTTTAGTATTTAGTTTTCAAAGAGTTTATTAAGTGTTCAGTTTAACTAGGTTCGGTTTAGAGAGAGTTGACTGTATTGTTAAAAAAAGTAAATAAATAAATACAAGTACTGGTTTTAGACAAAAGATTTTTCTGTAAAATTTCTAATTGATCGAAGGTTTCTTACATTAAGAGTTACTTTTAATATTTATAATAAAATTTGTTTAATTACATATAACAAATATATAAAATTCTGATAATGACTATTTTAAAAAATATTAGCAAAGAATTATTGCAAATTTCAATATTGCATAGTAAGAAAAAGTATTCATGTTTTCTAATCTTATGAGAATTTATAATGCTTTACTAAGTATTATAAATTATCATTATTATAAGATTAGAAAATGTAAATACTTTTTTTCTAACTATTTAATATTTATAATATATATATATTTATATATATAATTTTAAATAACACGATAAAACATAATGGAGTTTAGAGACTTGGGATTATTATTAGCTATTTACTTTAAATTTATTATTTTATTTCGTCAATATTACCAATTTCACTAATATTACCAATTTCGCCAATATTGCTAATTTCATCAATTCACTAATTCACCAATTTACCAATTTCATCAATTTATTAATTTTACTAATTTCACTAGTTCACCAAAAAATTTTTTTAGTGTAATTTTTGATAAAATTATTTCACCATTTTATCTGGTAAAATTGCCTAATTTCACCAGTATCATTATCTCCAATTATGTTTTTGAGTTTTGTTATAGCTCAGATTTATTGGCCATTCTAAACTCATTTTATAGCCAAGCTTTTCTTTGTTCTGAATCACACAAAGTAATAGGTCATAAAAAATACACTAGAGCAAAGGAGATACTACTTCACTCTGGTCCAAGCCATCCTCTGCTGAAAACCCTTGTGTTAATCTATAGCTAGTTATAACTTTAATTTCTCTTGCATAGAAAAAGCTTAGCAAAAATTTAGTTGTACTGTCTGGAATTTTGATTCTCTTAAGTGCTTTTTCAAGCATAATAAGACTAACTGAATCAAATACTTTTTTCATGTCCTGGAAGAGTATCCATATTTCCTTATTCTTTTCTCTAGCTTCTTCAATAAGATTGTTTATAATATAGATTAGACTACTTGTGCTACAACCTGTTAAGCTTGCAAAATTTGACCTTTTTAGTATACTAAACTTAGTTAGTACTTTGTTAAGTCTCTTATTGACCACTCGTACTACTACTTTTCAGAATACTTCAAGTAGTACAATAGGTCTAACATTCGAGAGGTTGTAGTTCCAATCTTCTTCTTTAGGAATTAGATATAATTAGCTAATCTTCCATTTCACTAGTATGTTCCTTTTCTTAATGTATTTATTTGCTAATACTAAAAAAATTCTTTGTCCTATACTGCCTACTCTTTTTATTAGTGAGTAGCTAATCCCAAATGAGCTTGGTGCAGATTTGGACTTTACATCTCTGAATACTTTTTGCCACTCATGTATTGAAATTGTCTTATTTAAGGACTTATATATATCCTTGTCAATTCTTTCTAAGGGTTCATATTCTTTATTCTATCTATCTGTTGAATTACTCAAATTCACTTTTCGTTTATAAAACTGTTTAATAAAATGAGCTCTAACTTCATTCTGAACCTTCTTTTCTTCTGTTAGTAACGAGATGTCTGGTCCATTTTCTATCATAACTTTGTTAAGTTTGATTTTGTTTGATGATCTTTCTAGAAGACTACTTAACATATGCTTAAGTTCTCCTTGAATTGCAGTACATTTGTTATCTACTGCTTTGCTAATACTCCTATTATCTTCTTTTTTCCTTTTATACTGTGCTTTGGTATGAATAACTTTTTACCATACTTTAAGGTCTTTACTTTTTTTACTTGTTCATAAGTTTTCTAATAGTTCTTCTATAGCTATATCTAGTCTCTTATTAATCGTATGTATTAGAGCTGACCATTGAACTTTAGTTTCTATTTCAATAGGTTTTCTCTATTCTTTTAAACATATATAACACATTTTGCTAACTACTCTTAAATCTTTAAGAATTTTGCTACTAATACTATAGTCCTCAACTCAGAGTATATCTATATATACTTTCTTACTTGGTAGAGACTTATATACATTTTTTATAATACTATCTGATATAGTATCCCAAAGCTCATCTAAGCTACTTTAATTGAAGAATTCTTCTATTGTAAGATCCTGTATGCTATTAGCATGCTTCTTCTTAAATAACTCTTCTAAATTTGCTTTGTATATATCCCACTCTTCTTTAGTAGCTTTTTCAAGTTTAAGGATACGTCTTTTTCCTTTTAGTCTTCTACTACTCACTACTGATCTGTTATTTTAACTGAAACCTGTAGTTAGCTGAGCATAGCCAATTTTATAATCACTGCCTGTAATACATTCAGCTTCTACAATTTTATACTTCATTAAACCTTGGCTTAGACTTTTAGATACCTAAATATAATCAATTCTGGTACTTAATTTCCCATTTGACCATGTGAATTCTCTTTTGTAAGGATGTATTTTCTGATATATATCTTCAAATGATGAATTTTTTAGTCAAGCTAAGAGTAGAAGAGTTTGCTTTCTCTTAGACTCTACTGTGTTTTGATCTAAAAGGTTAGAGCGAATATCATTGAAATCACCCATAATGATAACTTTGATATTTCTTTTTTCACTTTCTCAAATCTTTTTTATAATATATTGTTGAAGTAGTCTCTTTGTGTCTTTGTTATTAGATAGGATATATACTGCGATTACTAGAATTTTAACTTTTCTAAAAACTAGTATAATGTCTATATAATAATTACTACAATGAGAGACTCTGCTTATGTGCTTTTCTTATGCTTTATTAATCATAAGTCCTACTCCTGAGCCTTTTGCCTTATCTGTTTCTGCTGATGTCCAAAAGCTAACAAATCTAGACTCTCTTTTTAAACAAACTTACTTTGCTGTTTACTAATATTTGATTTATTTATTCCTAAAATATTAATTTTTTGCTCGTTTGTCTATTCTGCTAGTTACTCTATCTTTATAGTCTTGTCTTTTATCCCATTAATATTATGTATTACTATACTAAGTATCCTAAAATTAGTACTTATTTCTACCTCTATCATCTCCTTTTCTAATACTATATCTGCACCTATACTATTTGATTGTATTTGGTTTTTTTGTATTTCTCTTGCCCTTTGCTGATTTCTAAGTTTTCCTTCTTGAGAAATTCAGGCTTTCTGTGATTCAACTGGTGTAATAATTTAGGAGCGATTAGGAGTCTTACGACTTCTGTATCTATCACTAGTCTGCTAAAAAAATTCTTCTTTTTCTGCAAGCACTAATAAACTTCTTAATACTTCACTCATACTTAAGCCATTATTTTCCTTATTTTGTAAGCTATTTAGACTTGTATAATGATAGCTTCTTTGGCTACTTTTCCTATGACTACTCTTTCTATTCTTGTTACTACTTTCAGAACAGATAGAGTTTTTATAATCTGAATCTATAGAGGAGAATCTTTCTGAATTGCCTTCTTTTTCATAATTGTAACTACTTGTTATATTATTTTCTTCTCGTATTGTAAGTTTTTTTCTTTCATTCAGTACTTTTTTAGTAACAAACTTTGAGCACCCTTCCTCAGGGTCTTGCTCAACTTCTTTCATTTTTCCATAGCTTTTCACACTCTTTTTCTGATATACTTTAGGAGTCTCAGTACTCTCTGTATAGACATCCTTCTCTTCACTAAAATTAGTTCTTAGTGTAGCCCATTTGAATTTGTCATCATAGTAAAATGTCATAAATTTTGTACAATTTATGTAATCAGTTTCTCTTGCAAAGTATACAGTTATGCTCCTCTTATTATTATTATTATTGTTCTTAAAAATATATAGAGCTTTAGCTTCAGTATGTCTTACTTGTCTCCACAAAAGTACTTCATTTGCATCCTTTAGGAGGTCAAATATTTTCCTAGAATACTTGCTTCGTGTTTTAAATATCTCTGGATTGTTTCTTCTAGTAGTAACTCTAACTAGACAATTACTCAGAAATGGAATATACTTAGCGATGCCAACAAAATTACATAATCACGAATCATCACATACTATAGCTTATACTTATTGGACACGACGTAAAAAATTACTAGTTATCTTCTGGTGATAATTAATGATTACATAATTTTGTTAGCATCGCTAAATATACTATAAACTTTGATGTAGTTTTAAAAAAACGATTTGATCATTACAAAAATATGAATCATGGTGAACGTGCATGTTTAGCCTTGATTAATGATGAAATCCAAAAACAACTTCCTGTTAATATCACCAATAATGCATTAAAAAAAAGAAAAGAAAGATCAGGAAAAATATATGATTTATTTGTTAGTATTGGTAAAGAGAAAATAAGAGGTATTAGATCATTTTCGGCATCAAACATTTCAAATCTGAGTCAAGAAAATATTGATTATATAATCGTTGAAGTTTTAAAAAAAGAAGGTAAAGTTTGATCACTACTGCGCCACATTACTGCGCCAGTAACATGGATGTCACGTCTGAATTTATAAAAATCATGTATGATATTAACTATCGGATTCCACTTTAATTAATAAAACACTTTATAAAAGTTTTGCCCATATCGGACTGGTAATTTTTAACCAATGTATTAATTACTTATTACTGCGCAAAGTGAACTGATCATTGAATAACCCACATCGGGCCTAGTGACATGTGTTAGAATTATTTCGCATATAAATTTATCATCTTACAAGGCTTATCGTTATGCATAACTTATTTGTGAGACAGGGCACAATGCCATTTTTCATTTTTCGACCGGGGCGCCCCGGCTGAAATTGCAGTACCTAACCAAAATCGGTCAATTAACTCATGCCACATATCGATATCAAATATTTTTAACTTCGTTGTATACGTTGATATTGGTGCACATCCATCAGTTAAACATTGACCCAATGTATTTATTTCAGTGGCTAAAATTCCGATTCAGTTAATTAACACATATATCGATATGTAAAAATCTTTCTGATAAAAGCATTCAGCAATAACATACATAATCGTGATTTATGTATTTTGCTTGAAATTTTGGCCGTTCCACGCATTGTAGCTATTGTAGCTATTGATATTGCATTCATTTACATTGACCCAATGTATTCTCTCCGAAGCATGTTTAATGTTTTAATGAAATTGTTGTTTTTTAAAAAAGCGATCACGGGTGTGGTATCCGAAAGCAGGCCGTAAGTGTCGAAAAATAGTCTTAGAAAAATTCGAGTCAATACTGTATCACATTACGTAAATGACATAAAAATATATAAAATTTTTTGCATCATCGAAATTTCCAAACGCAGGGTCGACTTCGTATTGTTATGACGGGAACAATGATATTATTACTGTATTCAAAATCACATGTATGATCAGAGATTACGATTAAAAAATGCACGCGTGACCTGTTGTACGACAATCTGATTGTTTGTAAAAACTATAAAATGGGTGAATGTACGACTATTTCTTACTAAATACGTGAATATGTCTACTTCTACCGGAAAAACAATTTCACTTCCTACAATCAATAAAGTTGAAGGATGTAAGACAACTGAGGCTCTGATAGAATTTTTACGCGACCAAGATATAGGACTTGAAGATCGTCATTTCAAAATTATTCGTGAAGAAGAGATTGATGGTCCAGCAATCCTTGAATTAAATGCGGACAAACTCATGAAAGCTGGGTTTAAGATGGGACCAGCTAATAAGATTGAGCGATGGATTAGAAATATTAAGAACGAAGAGCAGGGTAAGTAGTACCACGACTGCATTCGAAGACACAAAGTGTCGAGTCTCTGACTCATATTCCAAACCTATACTGC